CAGATGTTGTTGTGCTCCATTTCCTACTATCCTATCAACCCTGATCAGTAGTAAAGAATTAGTAGTAAAGTAGTAAAGTAAAGTCAAGTAAAGTAGTAAAGTAGTAAAGTAAAGTAGTAGTAAAGTAGTAGTAAAGTAGTAGTAAAGTAGTAGTAAAGTAAGTAAAGTAGTAAAGTAGAGTTAAGTAGACGTAAGCAAGGTTTAAAGGTAAGTTAGAAGTAGTTAAAAGTAAGTATAGTAGTGTCAGTAAAAAAGTAAGTAAGTAAGTACAGAAAGTAAGTAAAAGTAGTAGTAGTACAGAGGTAAGTAAAGTAGTAGTATAGTACACCTTAGTACAAAAAAAAAGTAAGTAAAGTAAGTAAGTGCAGTAAAACTCTGCTAACTACTGATAAAAGAAGAGTAACGTACAGAGTAAGTAAAGTAAGAAAGTAGTAGTAAGTAAGTAAGTAATAGTAGTAAGTAACAGTAAGTAAAAATACCAATAGGAAATGTCTTTAGTAAAAGTAGTTAGAGTAGAAGTAAGTGTAAAGTAAGTAAGTAAAGTAAGTAAGTAAGTTAAAATTAGGAATAAAGTAAAAGTAAGAAGTAAAAGTAGTAAGTAAGTAAGAAGTAGGAGTAGTTAAAGTAAAAGAACAAAGTTAGTAAGAGTAGTAAGTAAGTACAGATTAGTACCGAAAAGTAGTAAGTATAGTAGTAGTCTAGAAGTAAAGTAGTAGAAGTAAGTACAAGTAAAGAGTAAATAGTAAGTAAGTTTATTGAAAGGAAAGTAATGTGAAGTAAAGAAGTAAAGTAAGTAAAAAAAAGTAAAAAAAAGTAATTAAGTAAGTAAAAGTAAGAGTATATTGCATTTGGACTTTGTAACAGTAATAAGTAAAAGTAAAGTGTAGTAGTAGTAGTAAGTAAGTAAAAGAACAAGTAAGTAAGAAGTAACAAAGTAAAGTAGTAAAAAAGAGTAGTAAGAGTCAAAAGTAGTAATGCAAGGGCTGAGCTTGACTCTCTGGTTAAAGGCCGAAAGCAGCGGAAAGGCAAACATGACTAGCCCAATATAGCCAACAATGTGATGTGGCGGCAAAAAAAGCCAATGGGATTTTGGCCTGCATCAATAGGAGCATAGTGTCTAGATCTAAGGAAGTAATGCCACCCCTCTATTCTGCTTTGGTTAGACCACATCTGGAATATTGTGTCCAATTCTGGGCACCACAATTCAAGAGAGATATTGACAAGCTGGAATGTGTCCAGAGGAGGGCGACCAAAATGATCAAGGGTCTGGAGAACAAGCCCTATGAGGAGCGGCTTAAGGAACTGGGCATGTTTAGCCTGAAGAAGAGAAGGCTGAGAGGAGATATGATAGCCATGTATAAATATGTGAGAGGAAGCCACAGGGAGGAGGGAGCAAGCTTGTTTTCTGCTTCCTTGGAGACTAGGACGCGGAACAATGGCTTCAAACTACAAGAGAGGAGATTCCATCTGAACATGAGGAAGAACTTCCTGACTGTGAGAGCCGTTCAGCAAGTGGAACTCTCTGCCCCGGAGTGTGGTGGAGGTTCCTTCTTTGGAAGCTTTTAAACAGAGGCTGGATGGCCATCTGTCAGGGGTGATTTGAATGCAATATTCCTGCTTCTTGGCAGGGGGTTGGACTGGATGGCCCATGAGGTCTCTTCCAACTCTTTGATTCTATGATTATAACAGGAGCAAAATTACAGTTATGAAGTAGCAAAATAATGTTATGGTTGGGGGTCACCACAACATGAGGAAATGTATTAAGGGGTCACGGCATTAGGAAGGTTGAGAAACGCTGCTCTAATACATTCATGTAATCTGCATAACTCTTAAGTACAACATTCATTTGTTCTCTCAATTTCTAAACAACTCTATAACATATCTATTGCATACAATTACTTCTCTTCATTTCTTAATACATCTCATTACTTCTTATAACTTTAATAATCATTACATTTCATAACCAGAATAACTCTTAAACTCTATATCAGTGGTTCTCAACCTGGGGGTCGGGACCCCTGGAGGGGTCATGAGGGAGTGTCAGAGGGGTCATTAAAGACCACCAGAAAACACAGTATTTTCTGTTGGTCATGGGGGTTCTATGTGGGAAGTTTGGCCCAATTCTGTCATTGGTGGGGTTCAGAATGCTCTTTGATTGCAGGTGAACTATAAATCCCAGCAACTACAACTCCCAGGATATCAAGGTCTATTTCCCCCAAATTCCACCAGTATTCACATCTGGGCATCTTGAGTATTAGTGCCAAGTTTAGTCCAGATCCATCATGGCTTGAGTCCACAGTGCTCTCTGGATGTAGGCAAACTACAACTCCAAAACTCAAGTCAATGCCCACCAAAATCCTTCCAGTATTTTCTGTTGGTCACGGGAGTTCTGTGTGCCAAGTTTGGTTCAATTCCATCATTGGTGGAGTTCAGAATGCTCTTTGATTGTAGGTGAACTATTAATCCCAGCACCTACAACTCCCAAATGTCAAGGTCTATTTCCCCCGAAGTCCACAAGTGTTCACATTTAGGCATACTGAGTATTCTTGCCAAGTTTAGTCCAGATCCATCATTGTTTGAGTCCACTGTGCTCTCTGCATGTAGGTGAACTACAACTCTCAAATGACAAAATAAATCCTCCCCAACCCCACCAGTATTTAAATGTGGGCATATTGGGTATTCATGCCAAGTTTGGTCCAGTGAATGAAAATACATCCTGCATATCAGATATTTACATTATGATTCATAACAGTAGCAAAATGACAGTTGTGAAGTAGCAACGAAAATAATTTTATGGTTGGGGGTCACCACAACATGAGGAAGGTTGAGAACCACTGTTTTAAACAAAGGGCCAAGTCACAGTCCCGCAAACTGTTGAAGTGCCGGATTATAATTTGAAAAAAGCATGAATGAATTCCTATGCACACGGCACTTATTATTATTATTATTATTATTATTATTATTATTATTATTATTACATACATACATTTCTATCCCCCCCTTCTCCCCACAGGGGGACTCAGGGCGGCCTTACATAAGCATCCAATTATGCTATCAACATATACACCAATAAAATTACAATTAAAACAATAAAATCCATTTAAAACATTATACAGGTTCAACAAATAAATTCATTAACAATAAATTAACGTGCCAATACACCAGAGCCAAGCTGGGAGAATCCAGTGTCGCAATGTCCAATGTGTGGTGGAGGCTCCTTCTTTGGAAACTTTTAAACAGAGGCTGGATGGCCATCTGTCAGGGGTGATTTGAATGCAATATTCCTGCTTCTTGGCAGAATAGGGTTGGACTGGATGGCCCATGAGGTCTCTTCCAATTCTTTGATTCTATGATTCTATATTGCCGCTCCTCTCTAGTTAAACGCCTGGTTCTAGAGCCAGGTCTTCAGTTGTCTTCTAAAGGACAGGAGGCAGGTGGCCAAGGATGTCCACCTCCTTAGGACAGTGTCCTTAGGACAGTGGTTCTCAACCTGGGGTCCCCAGATGTTTTTGGCCTACAACTCCCAGAAATCCCAGCCAGTT